CTCAGCAGGACAGGTGAAGAACTCATTTGTCTGTGCGGCCTGGCTCACTCTCTTTCAGCAGGTCATAGGTCATAACCAGAGGGCTGGCTTCACCATGCCCCTCTCCTCACTTGTCACATGACCATCCTGACAGCCTTCCAGATACCCCGATGTCTGAGAGGGACAGCACTAGACACGTTCTGCTTATTTGATTTCCGGACTCAATGGAGTACACTGTAATTCTGTATTTGTGAGCCATGGGAACAGAAAGATAAAATCTAGTGATAAAACCTAGTGAGACAACTGCATATTCCCTGCCAAAAATGCAAACCAATGTCCTATGATGGTGAAACAACAAATGACAGAAACCCAGAGTTTGTGTCTTCCCATGAGAGGTGGATATAGTGGCTCACGTCTATGATCTTAACACTCAGCTGGCTGAAGCAGAAGAGTCACTGAGAATTTGAAACTAGCCTGAGCTATAGCAAGACTGTGACTTAAAAGTAAGCAAACAAACAAACAAACAAAACCCCAATACCAGCAATGAAAGAAGCTCACAATTTGTTTCTAGATGATGAACCACACCCTGGAACAGGGTGGTCTCCCTGTGTTGTGAACAGAGACATCAGGGTAGTTAGTTTTGATTGTCACATTTGGAACTTGGCATCAGGGGTGCTGGCCCAAGTCTTGGAGGAAAGGATGCTTGACTATTGTTTCTTTGGAATGACAAGAACAAAAGGGGTCTCCCCTAATACCTTCATCCTTTTGGAGTCAGACCTCTCACTCTGTGAAGCCAGAACCTAGAGCCTGAGTGACTGGGTTTACCAAAATAGGAATAATGTTTATTAAATGTACTTGACATATGAAATATTTGCTGCTTCTCTGAAATTCAGAATTTACTGGCCTCTTGTTTTACCTGCCAACATGTCCTGGGCAGTCCCAAGTAAATGTGACTTTTTTTTTCTTCAAGATCTGTATTTGGTGATGAAGGTAAGAAATGCAAATTGTGGAACTCTATTTCAAGAAAAGTATCGACTGGAGGTCGTGAACCTTAGTGGGCTGTGAGTCACTGTCTTCTCTTTCATGGTCAAGTTGACATGCTGAACCTGCTCTCCACCAGGGAATATGAGGAGTAACGGTTCTATAGTCAGGGAAAGAATGTCCCATGTCCTCTCTCATGTCTAATGCTCTACAGAGGGTTTGGCTTCCTTCTTCCCCTGAGGAAATGGTAGCTGCTGGCTGAGGTAGATGGAGCTGGAGATGCTCAGAACCCAGGTCTGCCTAACACTTGCTGCACAGGGGAATAAGGAGGGTGGGAGGTGGGGAAGCTCATGATTCTAAGTGAAGTCTATGAGATTGCTTCTCCCTGAGCACAGTGTGTCTCTTCTGAGAAAGCAAAGATGTCAATCCTGGTGGTAGCCATTGGTTGCCACTCTTCCTCTCTCTCTTCATCTCCCTTCTTCTTCTATCCATTCCCCCCTTCTGTTTGTTTTTTAACTTTTATTTATTTTCTGTGTATGTGTGTTTTTCTTACTTGTAATCTATGTTCCATGTGCTTGCCTACTGCCTACCAAGGCCAGGAGAGGAAGTCAGATTCCCTGCAACTGGAGTCAAAGAGAGTTGTGAGCTGTCATGTGGGTGCTGGGAATGGTGCCTAGATCCTCTGGAAGAGCATACACTGCTCTCAGTGTACAATTCCCGATTGATGGAAACACATTCCTATCACGGGCATTGCACTGACCAGAATTTTCACCAGCAATCTGACAGAGTGTGGCGATCCTTGCTGGGACTGCTTCCTGAGCTGTACAAGGAATGAGAGTGCAGGCAAGGTTGTTTAATGCAAAGATGGGGTTCCCCAAAATCCTCAAATATGAGTTGTTATTGTACAACCCAAACAGGAATTTGCTGTTAGAGATGGGCCCCAGGGATTTGTGCATGCTAGGCAAGTTCTACCACACAACTGTTTTATTTTTAAATATAACTGAATATCCTAAGATTATTTTAACTGCAAGTAATAAAAGACATTCAACTCAACTTGGTGCTGGGTGACAGGGAAAGGAGGAGAGGAAAGAGGTGGTTACTGTGGGGACAAGAATACATCTTGTGGTACCATGGTAGGACAGCCAGACTTCCAGAAGGCACAGTACTCAAGAACCAGGAGACCAGAAGTCCCCAGAATGCTGTCCCTAGCTCAGTGACTCCTAAAATTTTTGTTCTCTCTTTTGCTCAGTTTTTCACACCAATAACTGCTGTTAATTTACAGCTACAAAGTTCACGTTGAAGAGATGAGTGAAAGACTGTGTGTACGCATATGCACCTACAAACATAAGACCCTCCTGCTGTAATTCCACACCTCTAAAGACAGGCTTTGGCCCTGAATGTTGGGTCATGTGCCCATACCTGGGCAGAGGAGTTTGAAAAGTGGAGTTTCATGAATTTCTCAAGTTGAGATGAGAGCCCCCATGGCTCTATATAAACCAAGCACATGGGCAAATCTTTGTAACGTGGGTGGATGCTCCAAATGGCAGCTGCATGGGTTGTTTATCTTTGCTACTTTAGTATGATGACAAAAAAATTACAGAAACAGAATGCAGCCTAACTGCCCCAATAAGTCTGTCTATGTCAGTCACTGTTCTATTGCTGTGAAGAGACACCATGACCATGGCAACTCTTATAAAGGAAAAACATTTCAGTTTCAGAGATTTAATCCATTATCATCGTTATGGTAGAGATCGTGGTGGTATCAGGCAAAATTAGCTAAGAGTTCTACATCTAGATTTGCAGACATCAGGAGGAGAGAGATTCTAGGCTTGGCATGGGCTTTGTGAAACAGCAAAGCCCACCCCAATGACACACTTCCACCAACAAGGCCACACTTCCTAATCCTTGCAAATAGTGCCGCTCCCTGATGACAAAGCATTCAATCTATGAGCCTATGGAGACCGTTCTTATTCAAACCACTACACTGTTGTTTAAACCACTCTGGTGATTGTCATTTTATCACAGCAGAAATAAGTTAGGTATAAACTGGACAGATACCTCTGCTGCTGTTTTTCAAGGTAGTTCACTATAAGCAGAGTCATCAGAACAGCTCTTTAGTGGAAAACCAAGATTCAATAGTGTTGTTGTTCATGGCTTTTGAGACAAATCTCACATCGTAGCCCAGGCTGGAACTCGCTCTATAGCCCAGGCTTTCTTCAAACTCAAAGGAATCCTCCTGCCTGCATATCCTCATTGTTGAGATTACAAATGTGAACCACCATGATGCGGTACAGAATTTTATTTTTAATCATTAAAAAAGCCTCTTGGGCTGGAGAGATGGCTCAGCCATTAAAGGCTAGGCTCACAACCAAAAAAAGTCTCTTTCACAGTATCCAGAAAGACAAATCTCAGAGATGGTCTAGGGGACATAATTAGAAGTGACAGGTCATGTCATTTTAGAAGAGGAGCTCTTCCTTTTCACAGCTTTAAGACAACGTTGGCAAGGACACAGCTGCCGAGTGTCTAGGTAATCTTACCGAGGGTTCGGTTCCTTAGTGTGACCTTGTGCTAGCAGCTACTCCTGGGTGACAAGGAAACGAGCCACACCAGGAACTTCAGCTTCTATAACGCTGAAAGACAATCCTAATCACATCACAGGTAAGAGTCGCCCATGCCGCCAGGTCGCAAGCAGTTGACCTTCTGCCTGCTTCTCAAAAGCCAGTGACCACCGCCCTCACCCTCACAACCCTTCTTTTTGCCATCACTTCCTTCTTTGCTGAGCTGCATTTTTTTATTTTTCTGTCCTATACTGTGCTTAACAGAAGAGTCCATAATTCTCTTTTCTCTCACTGTTCAACCCAGTGGCATCTGGGTCTGTCCCACTATCCCCTTGAAAGGACCTCCCCTTTGAACACCCATAATCTAACTGTAGGAGTCTCCCCTCTTGTGGTTTGTGAGACACCATGCTACTCTGAACTTCTTGTTCCTCTGGCCCATTCCATACTGTGCCTTCCTGGGAATGATTCAGACTTCTGCTAAATATATCAGGCTTTTAACTCCTTGGGAAATAGAATCTTCATAAACAAAGCCAACCAGATAAGTAATCACAACAACCCAAAACCTAGTTTTCTGAGTTTTGTCTTAATGTTACACAAAAAAAATGAGACCAAAGTCTCTCACTTTCCTTTTAAGGTAGTGAATATGTCCTGCTGGGCATCTGTCACCTAAGGCTTAGGGGCCCAGGTCAATGTGGATAAAATGGCTGAAGGGACACCAAAGATCAGCCAGGGCCCGGAAGATGACGGGACCCTCTGAAAAAGCTCTACAACTTCTAGCTCTCTTAATTACTTTGCAAACTTCTCTGGCTAGCATCATAAACATGTTTGCTTCAGAACCATGATCCCTAAGCCCCACACTCCAAAGTCTCCGTCTCTATGCGTCACGTTTCTCTAGATCCCAGATGTGTGTGCATCACTGCTCAGACTCTCCCCATATGATATCCCCGCATGAAACCGGAATGTCACATGTCCCATTAAATCTACTTGGTTTCGTAGGCTTGTTTCTTAATTTCCTTTCTCACGGTGACACCAGACTTCACCCAGGCTCCTGAGCCTCCTCTTGGGAATCATTCCTTTCCCTTCTAATCATACTCAGCCTGTCATTCTCTCTTCTACTCACTACCTTCCTCCCTTTTTCTGTCAACAGCTTAATTAAAACCCTCCTTATTTCTCATCTGGATAAAAGCTGTCCCCGAGGGAGTACGTATTTGAGGACTCCTAGTAGTTGTCTGACACCACGGATGGTATCAAGCCTTATACATACTCTGTTTATTCTTATACACACATACTTGCTTATGATAACATTCAATTCACAAGCTGGACACAGTAGGAGAAGAACAATAGTAACTAAAAGCAAAATGATTATACTGCAGTGGAAGTTGTCTAAGACACATGAACTGTCTATTTCTGGAAATTTCCATTTAAGATTTTAGTACTTTAACTGACACCACGGGTAAGGGGGAGGGGGGCAGCTGTACTCACATGGCTTTGTAATGGATACCCTTCAGTCTCCACTACAGCAAGTTGAGCACTGGATGAGACACGTATCTGGAGCAGCTAGGACTTCAGGAAACCGGAAGGTCTAGGCAAAGATGAGTCAGAGGCCTAGTAAAGAAAAACATAAAAATTAATAGCAGATGGACGAGGGAGGTAATGGTCACTATCCCAAAACTGTGCTGGGGTAGAAGTTGTCATTATGCCTTCTCTTCTGCAAGATGCCTAAAATGACCAGAGGAAAGGAGGTCCAGTGCCCAGCAGGACACCACCTCAGATCTTTACAGCAAACTGCAACCCCCACCCTCCTGTATTTCATGATCACCATAAGTTTCCTTTTACCCGGGCTTTGGCCCCAGTTTGAAATATTCTGCTCTTTGTAGGGACTGTTACAACGTGAAGTGTTTTGTTGCTAGGCCTCCAGGGTGCACACTTAGATGGCCAAGCAAGGCACTTTTCACTTTGCTTTCTTTAGTAAGTCTTCCCCAATTAGAACAAAGGAAACCCTTGTTTTGTAGACATTTAACACATACCTGAGGGTTTCCGATTCACCGAAAAGCCAAGCATCTCCAAGGAACCATCTATAAGAGCTGAGGTCATTTGAAGAGCTGGATACCAACAAGATCTCAGTTAAATTGAGCCAAACCACCCATTTTGATTGTTTAGCCAAATTCAAGTGTGTCCAATGCATTAGAATTCCAAATCCTCAACAAATCTCCTTGGCGTGACCTGACAAGATCACTGGTACTTATTTATTATTTTTGTATAAATGGAAAAAATTACACTAGAACCAGGAAACTTCCACAGGTAAATTGGTTAGAGCACTGAATGGGACCCAAGAGAACACTGAACACGATCTTCCCTGCCAAAGAGCAGCAAAAGCTTTGACTTTCTGCTCTGCACGCAGGTGGCTGATGGACTGTTTTATGATGGGGATAATTATCTCTGTCTTTCTCTCTTAGTTACCTACCAAAATAAACTGTGCAAATCCTAGCATATTAGGAGGACTCCATCATCAGCTGGCAGGCCAAACCTTAGCAGGGCTCCACAGCCCCAGGGAAGGAAATTGCTAAGGAAGATATGTAGGTCAGTCTATGGTTCAAAAGACCCCATGTTATGTACAATCAGGGACTCAGGAAGTGTGCTTGTCTTGCTCTCCTAGGGGACATTGTCAATTCCTGGATGATGGTCTTTTCTGACATCTTTGATGTAAATCTAGCACAGGCCAGTCTTCATTTCCTCACAGTACCAACTCTTTAAAGGCAAGTCAAGTGGAAAGGCACTCGATTTATGATGTTCAAATGAGAATATCCCATGATATAACAGGGTTGAAGAGAGAGAGACTCTGGGCTATTGATGCTTTTGCTAGTGTTTCAGCAATTTTATTTCCAGATCTAGGAAGGAGAATGCTTTTTTTACCAGACTCTTTTATTTTACATATGACAAGACTGAGGTCCAAAAATGGTTGGGTTGCCCAAGTCACACATTTGGACTAGATCCAGGGCCTCCTGACTGCAGCTCAGTGTCCCCTTGCTGTGAACATCATCACACATGTTCTGCCAGGTACCTATGGCAGAAAAGGGGTTATAGAAGGCGGAGGACATGGCCTATCAAGTAGCTACCTTTGGTTCATCCTATCAAGGACCTTCAATGTAAGATCAGACATCAGGTGGGTCAGACATGCAGGGAGAGATAGGGAAAATGTATACTCGATATCTAAGAGCAGTAGAGTATATCTGCTACAAGAACCCAGGAGCTTAGACAGACTGTGCTGAGTACAGCCATGAGAGCCATGTCTTCAATCTTGCTATTCCAACCCAAGAAAAGAACCATTTACAAGCTAATACTGCTCTTGCTAACCTACTTTGATAGAGCCAGCAAATGTATCCAGCCAGGCATTATAATCAGTGTGTTACGTGTCACTTAGTTAATCGTCACAAAGCTCCACTGTAGTCGGACTTTCCTTTGGGCCACCAGCCCCAAATAATGACATGGAGACTTATTAGTTATAAAAACTTAGCTTAAGCTTGCCCCACTTGCTCTTATAGCTTAAATTAACCCATTTATTTTAATCTACATTCTGTCACTTGACTTGTTACCTCATCTTTCTGTACTGCTCATGGTGCTTTCTCCTTGTCTAGCTGGTGATCCCAACTTTCTTCCTCTCTGAGTCCTCTCTGTCCCCAGAAGTCCCACCTAACCTCTTCCTGCCTAGCTTTTGGCAATTCAGCTCTTTATTAAACCAATCACAGTGACACATCTTTACACAGTGTAAATACTCTGCAATACTCCATGAGGCAAATGTTTCTCTATCCCCTTTTATATATGAAGAGATTAAGGGTTTGAGGGGTCAATGAAGCCACTTGTAAGAAAGAGCTAATAAATAGCAAAGGTCAGTGAATGAAACCCTAACACAGTTTCCCAGGGATAGTTTCCTAGTATCAAAAGAAGCTAGGGGTGGGGCCTAAACCACAAAGATCCACTATCTTCCTCTTCTGGAGCCTGGAAGGTGGAGATCAAAGTCTGCCAGGGTTGGTTTCCTTTGAGGGCTGGGAGGGAGAGAGCAAATCCAGGCTTCCATACTAGGAATGCAGATAGACAGTCCTCTCCTTGCTTCACTGTGTCTGTTCTTCTCTACTTTCCTCTATGTGTGTACATTGAAGTTCTCCTTTAGAACACTATGACCTCTTCATAACTAGTGTATCTGCACGGACAATGTGTTGTACATTGAAATTCTCCTTTAGAACAGTATGACCTCTTCATAACTAGTGTATCTGCACGGACAATGTGTTGTACATTGAAATTCTCCTTTAGAACAGTATGACCTCTTCATAACTCATGTATCTGCATGGACAATGTGTTGTACATTGAAATTCTCCTTTAGAACAGTATGACCTCTTCATAACTAGTGTATCTGCACGGACAGTGTGTTGTGGGAATTCAGTCCAATAGTCAATTTTCTGGTGTGACTTGATCCAATGGGCATGTTCTTCTCTGGAGATACAGGACATGGGTTTGTGCCCCACATTGGACACCAGGTAATGAGGGAGGGAACTCTGTGATCAAGTCAGATTTATTAACATGTGCCAATCGGTAAAGTATATTCACAATATAAAATGAGGCAGCAATGCTGCCACTGAACAGCTGCTCCTCTTGCCCCCAGTGGCAATCGGGAAGGTCCAGGAAAGGTCACCAAGCCATGGCCTTCCGTAAGGCCTCCTCAGTCCAAGCAAGCATGCAGACCCACTCCCGTTTTATTGGGTCACATATATCTAGAGAAGACCACGCCCATTGAGTGAAGCCATCCCATACAATTGGCTATCTGGCCGAATTCCCACAACAACACTGTTTCCAAAAACTCAGGGCTATCCCCAGGAGTTAGGACATTAACATATGAATGAATATGCAAATAAACCAGATGAGGAAGTCAGTCCTCAGCATCACCTCCTTCCCCTTTCACTCAGAGGCCATGTGAGAAGGATTCAGAAGGATTCAGACAACTGAGGAATCCCCAACTCTGATCTGAACACCATGAGATCAAGTCAGGAGAGAGAGGAGACAATCTCAGAGATGCCCCCAAGAAGATGAGAGAGAGTATCAGGTGGAAGAGTAGCTTGGCATGGGGTGGTGGGGGACAGGTCCTTCCTTACAAAGGGAGGAATGAGCTCATATGTGAACTGAATCCATGTGGAGAAGGGGAGTTGAGGAATTTTGCTCCCCATGACAACTGCTGTTTTCTTTGTGTTTCTTTTTTCTTTTTTAAACTATATTATATTGGGTTACAGGAGACTATTTTTGTGCAAGCATATAAATGTATTTTGATAAAATCTTCTCCCATAATCCCCATCTTTCCCTTTCTCATCCCCCAATTTTCTTAAGCCCCCAAGTTTGCTTCTTCTTTCATGACATATGTCTATACATGTTTTGATGTATCCACATGAAATCTAAGAGCCACAAGTGACAGATTGGCAGGGCCCCACCCATCGTGGGGCCTGGGTTGTATCAGAAAGCAGGCTGAATAAGCCATGGAGAGTCATGCATTCTTACACGGTTTCTGCCTTTATGGTTCCTGCCTGACTTCCCTCAGTGATGGACTGTGGAGTGGATGTATGAATCAAATAAACCCTTTCCTTCCTCAAGCTGCTTTAGGCCATGGTGTTTTATCACAGCAATAGATAGATACCTCCATATTGATTTCCAACATGGCTAGACTAGTTTATGTTCCCCCAGCAGTGATTAATGATTCCTTTTGTCTCCGTGTAGTCCAGTGCAACCGTAATTATCAGAGGATGCTCTGGGATACACACACTACAGCAGAGTGTGTCTGTCAGGTTCATGCTCTTACAGTGAAACACATGAGGCAGGTTGCTTATGTAGACAATTGACTTTATTTAGATCACAGTTTTAGAGGGTTGAGTCTAAGACCAAGAGGCCCCACTGACTTGGTGAGGGTGGACATCACTTCAAGAGCTGGGTTGGACTAAGTGCTCACATCTCTGGTCAGAAAGCAGCAAGGAAGGGTACCAAGTTCCCCCATAACAGTACCCCCAATAACTTAAGGATCTCCCACAACACCTCCTCTCTTCCCAGATGTTCAGCTCTCTCCCAGTAGCACAGCACTGAGGATCAAGCCCTTTTGTGGGAAACATTTAACAACCAAACTGGCACCAATCATGTGCATGTCTACGTGGTGGTTTACCCTTAGATCCATGTGCTATGTATGCTCTGTGGAAGTTTAAAATCACAGCCCCAGCTTAGTCTGATTAGAGCATGGACTTCATCACCTTGACCTTCCAAGACTACAGATCTTCCCTTAGCTGCCACATTTCAAATAACCATGGCTATTAGCATGAATATCCTCATTGCTATTTTATACCACACTGATATTATAAGTAGCAACTTTGTGTCTCCTAGTTACTCTAATCATGTTGATCTCCTCATGTACAAAGTGGATCTGGAGATGGCGAACCCAGAAAGCTATCAGAGGAGTGATGACATACTGAAGTTATTCCTAAAAAGAAATATATGCTAGTATAAGTACTATACCATGATGGTTGAGACATACCCTGTTTTGGAAAACTATTGGAGAGTCCCCATTAATGTA